TAAATGGGGGGGGTGCCAAGACTTTCCACCCGCTAGTTGTATGGTATCATATATACATATAATGCAAGTTAGTGTTGTACCTTTTGACAGAATATAGTCTACAAGCGATTACGGTAGCGCGCGGGAGGGAGGAGGATATTTTTACTGTACTAGTACGGTACATCTTCACTGAACCTGTGACATTTCATTCCTTTCCTTCCTTCCTTCCTTCGACGGTAGAGTAGAGTAAGCATTCAATCCGTACAGTAGGTAGTAGAATGCTCGAGTATCTTCACCACCTTATTAATAATTTAAAGGGGGGTCAAAATATGGATGGATGGATGGATGGCAATTGGATCTGAAAAAGTCGTACCATGCTTGTAATAACTTGCGCGGTACTGTATTTGCTGGTATTACATAACGTCATCGCCAGGTGGGTTTGTTTCTTTCTTTCTCCGGTGGTACAGTAGTCTACCGGTACTGGCCTTCTGTTGTGGGCAACTTATGGCGGTGTGGCACTGTACTCGAGTACTAGTACGCGAGTACTGTACGAGTACTGTAGTACTCGTATCGTGCGTGGTACGAGCTATTGCGCGGGCTTCCATATGATGGATGGATGCATGTGGTGGTGGTGGTGTAGCCTCAGTGTGAGTGAATGAGTGAATGAGTGGATGAATGGGATAGGGGTCTACTGCGCTGTACAGTACTTTGCCTGTCCTTGTCTTTCGTCTTATTGTTCATATATACCTGCCCGCCTTACTTTAGTCCAGAGTACTCTAGAATAAACAAACAAAACGGGTATCTGCTTCACTTTGGCCCGTTGAAGACCCGATCAATTAGCCATTCCGTCAGTTAATCAAGACAAACATGCTTAGCTTAGAAAAAAATGAATTTTTTTTTATAGAGCTGTCGAGCGTACGGTACTTGTGTGCCTATGCTGCGGTACTAGTCCTGTGCAGTCAGGAGCCTGTTCGGGGGTGTTACCATGCTCAGTTCCCTCCCCTGCTATAAACAGCATCTACAATATACACCGGTATTGTACCGTGCGTCTCTGGATATTTTCGCGAGGAAAGGCAAGGGGGGAGCAGAGTTGAAGTGCCAAATTTTTGACCATGAAAAAAGAAACCCCCCCCCTGTCCACGGGATACCGGTATCGTGAAAAATACTTCGAACCGTACCTGACGTGGGGCTCACCTCATCCCACCAGGGATACTCGAGTAGGAGTTCCTCCCCCCCCCCCCCCACCTTCGCTCAATGTCCGAATCAGTTAAGGCTGATACCGGTACTGTGCGAGTACAAGTACCGCAAGTTGATTAGATTGTATGAGAAGGGAGGGAGGAAGGGCTGAAATCACCGTTTTCTCCGTACTTCCCCTCCCTTGATTGTCGGGCCTATCGTGCCTACCTGCTATTGACCGTGCAGACACAGCGCTTTATCTATTACTCCAGACTATTATGCTAGCCAGGTACCGTAGGTATCATACTTACACCTACCAGAAGGGAAAGTTGGTCCCGGTCTATCATTTCTGGTGTGAAGGTATTTTGCTGTCAAAAGGTTGTCCCCCCTTTCTTTTCCACCGGATCCACGTGTACCGTACTGTAACTACCGTTGCTTCCCTTCCCTTCCCACCCGAGAAAGCGGTGCTGGGGGGACCAGACGGTTTCGTGTCACGCTGGGCTTCAGTTTCTCTTCCAGGTTCGTAGGGGAGGCATTGGAAAGTGCCAAGAGGTTTGTGACCCGAGGGAGGCAGTGTCTCAGGGTGCTTTTTTAACCGCAGTTGTCGAGTTGGAGCGCCGGTATGGTTAGCCTAGCTTGATCATTTTTTTATCCTGTCAGCGAATGAGTGAATATCGGGGGTGGAAAAGAAACGCGAAAGTCCAGATTCTTTCTTCCTTTTTTTTTTTTTTTTTTTTGGCCATTTTGTAAGCGCGACGAAATGTCGGAACTGCCGCTCACACACACTTTTCTTGACACCTTCCCCTCCATAACCTTCTCTTGGACTTTTTTTGAACTCTGGAGACTTGTGCGTCGGTCGCCCGCTCCGCCAGGGGTTGAGAGGGGGGGGGGATTTTTTGATGGATGGATGGATTGATGGATTGATGGGACGAAGATGGATGGGTCAGAAAAGATCAGTGGGCTGGGTGAATTGTAATGGAATGGATGGATGGACGCAAATAGGGACTGACACGAACAAATGAAAAGTTAACGCTCTCCCTCTCACTCCAGCTCGACCAGTGGGCCATCGTGAACGGTTTGTCCAACCCTGACTGGCTCGTCAAAACACGGTGTGCCGACAGATAACAGTAGCAAACAGAATGGGTACTTTTGTTGCATGATAGATGTGTTGTACTCGTACTTTGCTCCCTTCTCCTTTCTCGCGATGGAAATTGACGGTTTGGGGATTAGACCTCTCCCCCGTGGGACGGGGGAGGAAAGAAGGAGAGAGGCACCACACCCGGTTTTCTTCGGTTAAGGTGAATGAACGGACTAACCCCTCGTGCTGTTAACCTCCTTCGAGTCATGGACGGACCAAAGCACATGGAACGAACAGGAGAACATGCAGACCACTGGAAAGAAGTGGACCGCACGGCGAGGGAGGGTGGGTTGCGTTTACTCTATTTTTTAGAAGAGGAAACGCCAGGCGGCCGAGCAAAGTGGAGAGCCGCAGAGTAACCGTTTTGGCCCCGCTTTCCCTCTCTCCCCTCGACTGGAGTGAGGGTACTCGTACCGGTATGGGTATATAATATGATGAGTACTCGTATATGATACCCGTGCCGGTACGAGCACCATACAGGTTTGTGGACAAAGTACCGGTACATACCTTATCCCTCATGATTCGTTTATGTGTCTACGGTACCGTAGTAGCAGAGAGGTGTGTGTGCAGTAGGCTACGAGTACTGTACTGTTGGTTTATGCTGTCCGTCGGTCTAGGCGGCGTCAATCATCATGAGGCCTGGAAAAGCATTTCTGCCACCTTTACGGCACAGGAGGGCCGGGGAAGATACAAGTACCGGTACTCGTACAGTATGATGAGTATGGGCTGTGTTATTTGTCGCATGGGCGAGACGGGGAGGTACTCGTAGTGTTTCTTTTTTTAAGCTATCACCATATTCCTTGTCTTTATTCCCTTTCCGGGCGTTTAGCTCACGCTCTTGGCTAGAAGCAGGGCAGTGGTCTCATCGCCCACTTCCTGTTGGGGTGGCAGGAAGCCTTCTTCCGTGGGCGAGCGGAGGTCGGGGAGCGAGTGAGTGATGCGGCGAGAAAATGGCTAGGGATGAACTCTGGGAGCGAAAGATGTTCATTCCCCTTTGGATCCAGCGGGGTTACCCGAGTACAAGTGCTAGCGATAGGGATGCTCGCGGAGGGACGGAGTGTCCAACACGCAGTGATCCTGGCCAGGTGGACTGGATCTCCCTCTCTCCCTTACTCGTAGAGGTAGAGTATCATGATACCGGTACGAGTACTCTAGACCACAAGTTACATGATCATCTCACCACAAACACGCCTCCATCCGCTGGTGGCATTTAGAACCGTCCACTTCAACCGCTATCGTTCACTTGGCGCCGTTTTTTTAGAATCAACGGATTGCAATTGATTTGGCTAATTCCCATTGATCCATTCATGAGTGATTATTTCGAATTCTGAGTCTCGGTATTTGTTTTTTTCTCTCTTTTCTTCCTCCTCGCTACGAGTACCTTTCCCTTTTTCCTTCCAAGGGGTGATGCGATCCGATAGACTATCTCCTGAGTTTCTCGAGTCGGTATCCTCAACTCGAGATGGTGGGCATCAAGAGAAGGCAAAAAAAGAAAAAAGAAAAAAAAGAAAGAAAGAGAGAAGGTCCACAAAGGTCTTTTTTTTTTTTTCTTTCACTCAGAGCTATGATAGCGGACGGTAGACAGGGCCACCAAGGATTCGCCCCAGCAAGTCAAGAGGCGAACGAGCTATTCCTCAAGCGAACAAGTCAGGACACGCCAATCCGGGCCTCACTCGCTCCCCTCCACCCCTCGGGGCCTTCTCTCCACAGAGGGCGAGGGGCAGGAAGGAACAGGCCGGCAACAGCAGCATACATTAGCACAGCAGAGGCAAGCAGGCAGTCAGTCAGGCAGATAGGAGGGACATGGGGGGTGAGTATGGATTGTGGATGGGGGAACTGGGGGCATGGGATTGGGGAGGTGGTGGGCTCGACCATCCTCACGGAGCTGGACCACCGCAGCCCAGTAACCGATCAGCATTGGGGGGGGGGCAGGCCGGATTGGAAGACTGCCAAAATCGACGAACGACGAACCGGCCCTCGTTCGCTCTGTTCTACACAATGCACACGAAGCTTTTCCCTTTTTTTCCTTTTTCCTTGTTTTTTTTTTTCCTCCTCTCCCCTTTCCCTTCCTTTCCTTTTCCTCAATCCTTTCTGGGGCATGAGTGGCAGAATATGAAGAGAATGGAGAGCGATAGAGACAGAGCGAGAGAGAGATGAAGGAAAAAAGAAAAGAGGAAAGAAAGAAAGAAGAAGAAAAAAAAGACACGATCCAACTTCTCGTGGACTTCCACTTCAGCAAATAAAAGAGGGAGAGATACTCCGCTGTTTCCGCACCGTTTTACAGTAACCTCCACAGACACACGCATTGAGTCTTGAGTCTCCCTGCACCCATAGTATCACCACCGTGCTGTATCTCTTTCGCCCCAAAGCTTCTTCTTGCTGCTCTTCCCTGCGTCAATCTTTGTTTGTCCATCCTGCCTGTCCGGTTTACCTCCTTCCCGTAGGTTGGCCAGTCAGTTTGCCCCACTTGTCTGAGTGTACTCGTCTCATTTCTCCTCTCATTCTTGCACAGCGGTCCCTCCCGGCCAGCTTGCTTGCTAGAATAGCCGCTGGCTAACCACTCATCGTCGTTGCTCGGCCTTGAATACGTACATGATACATAGATAGAGTGGGAGTGGGAGTGAGAGAGAGAGAGAGAGAGGATCGTGGGGCATTTAGTTTGGGGAGGAACATTGAATTCCTGCCGCTGCTACCCATTCCCTTTTTTTATTATTATCTTTATTATTATTTTTTCCCACCGTCCCATCCCGACGCCGCTTAAGCAGGTGGAGCAGCAAGCATTTCGAGAAGCAAAGCACGAGCAAGGTCAAAGCAAGCAGCCAAAGCAGCCAAAGCGACCAAACAGCGTCGAGCAACCAAGCTCCGTTACCAGCTTTTCGTGTGCACCCACCACTACGAGTACAAGAGCTACCATACAGGTATCCGCTTCCTCCACATTGTCCAGTGTCCCCCCCCCCCCTCCGGGAAAATCGACCATCTCGTCTCCGTCATCTCTCACTCTTTCTCTCTCCCCCGACACAACCTGTTGACCTCTCCAACTGTGCTTGCGCTGACACACACCGCACGCCGCTTCCGCTGCCTTTCCTGTTGCTCGGCCACAAAAAATATTAATACTCACTTCACCCTCACCCACCACCCAACTCTACCCTCGTCCCACAGGATATTCCCATCCATCACACACTCTCGCCTCTCTGATTTCAATAAAATCCCTCAGCATCTTCCGCCCATCTCCCATACCAGCAGCTCTCCATCCAGCTTCTGCCCAACAAATACCATACATCCGGACGATCTACGGCGCCATCCGTCCTTCTCATCGCCAAAAACTTGAACCGCTCCCACCAACCCTTCTTAGAATAATCCTGCTTGGGGTGGAATAGAGCCGGAGCTCGATAGCCAAAAGCTCGTCTTCTGCTATAACTCGAAGCCTTCCGCACACCAGCTTTGAACAGGACCTTCCCCGGACGACAGCACTTCTCCTTCGACGGGCCCCTTCAGCACATTCGCTTCCTCCTCCTCCTACCCATCCAGAGCGGCAAAAAATGCTCCTTTCGCTACCGGATCCTCGTGAATCTTCACGCTCGAGACGTTCACCGCTCACTCCTCCCTCCGTAACCCCCCCTTCCGTCAGCGTGACTGGGTCGTCGACCATGCAGAGTGAGAGGGATCGGTGCACTTCGCCCTCGCAGACGGCGACGACATTACTCGCCAAAGTTGCCGCTCCTCAACCACAGACGGGAACTACACCATCGTCCCCGAGAATGGCGATGTCGAATTCGAGCTCCGCTTCGTCGACACCGTTATCGACGCCGCCCGGGGATGGTTGCCATTTCCCCTTCGGCTCGATGCAGAAGGGTTTGCCTGAGAGTCCCGATGGTACGTCACTCGCTTTCGCCGTTCACATGCTCGCTTGCTTTACCCCAGCAAAAGTGGTAGCGACGCGAACGGGGTTACCCCCCCCCCCCCGTTTTAACTCGTTCCTTCTGGCTAATTCGTTTCCTTCTTTGTGACAATAGGTGGCTACATTAGCTTCCCGGTATTCGAAGAATTCGGAGACTGCAAATCTGAAGACGAGGCGGGGTCCCCTCCGCCCCACAAACGGTGACTGGGATCGCTACAACCGGAGGAAACGGAGCATCATGGTCATGGCAATTGGCGGATCCTCGACGGATTGTACAGAATCGGTCGCTTGTTTTCGGTGACGGCGCATGAACAGGTTTTCGACATTCAGTTGTGAGCGGTAGACGGGAAACCCATCGGAAAAAACAAAAAAAACAAAAACAAAAACAAAAAAACATGAAATCCACAAAAAACAAAAAACAAAAAAAATACTAAACCACATAACCAGCTGTGCATATTACCGGTATCCTCTTTTTTTTTGTCAACTTTCATACGGCGCGTGGGTTCATTGTCTGCTTCTGTTTCTCCTTTTCTTTTTTTTACAGGCACATTCCCTTTTCTCTGGAGCATTGTTCTACTTATTACACTTTCTTGTTTATTCTTTATCAAAGTTTCTACTTTCTTTCTTTCCTTTATTTCCACTCTCTTGTTTTGCCAAAAGCACTGCCACTAGGGGAAAAAAGTAATGGGGGGAAGGGGCTTCCTTCATTCCATGCTCTCGTGTCCGAAAGCATTTCATTCCTTGGTCTGGTCTGGTTTGAAAGTACGGAAGGGTTCGCGATAGTGGCGACTTGGACAAGTTGGGAGACTCTTCTTACTTTTTCTTGGCTTCGAGGAATTCTTTTTATTTCTCTCCATTCCATCAACAAATCTTCATGTATTTTGGTGTTCACTTTTCTTATGGTGGGGCGCGTCTTATTGGCATTTATTACATCTCGGGCGCCGGACATGAAATCAATGGAATGGCGCGAGTTTTGGCATCTTTATTTCTTCTCTTTTTCCACTTGGTTTCTTTTTCCACCATTCCATTTTTCTCCGGCAGGATGGGGGGAACCTGGATGGTGGGTGGGATAACCGCTCCGTGGTCGATTGCAGCGAGCGGAATGCTCTTTTGTTTGTTTTTTTCCCCTCTCGTCAACGGATGTCTCTTCGCCGGATACATCATAACCCTTCCTTCCTTCCTTCCTTCCTTCCACTGATCCGAATGAATGAATGAATGGAAAGCGAGGCTAAAGGAGGGGGTATATTTGCGGAAGAACAAGACGAATACAAATACAACAGTCGATTTAACTCGAGCCCCTTTCTTGTATTAAAATTATATCATCTTTTTGTTTTTAATTCAACATTTTTTTTTGTTATTATTTCATGCTTTTATTATATATATATTTATTCCGTTCCTGTTTCTTATAATACAGCATCAGTATTACCATCAGTTCCGTACTCCCCGCGCAAGCGCCGCCACTATTGAACTACCGGTACGGGTCCATAATTCCTCACCCCTTGACGATGGACCATGGCAATTGATGCAATATCTGGAGGATGTTTTCTTTCCCATCACGGTTCCAAGCTGGAAGGCTACGGGCACGAGCACGCATGAGAAGGGTCAATCCAGGTTAACCCTCAAAAATCGCCCCAGTCTCGTGTGATACCGGTACGAAAACACCCCCTTGTACGGTAGCACCAACTATTATCATCATCATTATTATCATGTTAATACAAAGCCTTCCCTCCAACGAACCGGGATTAAATTATTATTATTGTTATTATTATTATTATTATTATTTTCCTCTTCTAAATTTGTATATAGATCCCGGTTCCGGTCCAGCCCTAGGCTTCCCTCCCACCCTGCCTTCCGCGATATGATAACGACGCATCCATCTGTGTATGATATCTACCTATAGTATGATATCCGCCTTCCTCTCCTTCTCCCAAAAAACCTACGGTATACCAGCCAGCCAGCCGACCGGCCGGCAGTCTGCGCGGCACCATGATATTGGTGAATCGGGACCACCACAGCGTAGCGCAAGGTCTTTTTTATTGTACAAGTATCATGCCCTCTCTCTGCATGGGACGGTACGGGAGGGAGGTCTGACTGCGGGATGAAATATCGTGCTTTCTCTCCGTCTCCCTCTCTTTTTCTCTCTTGCTCGCAATCGCGTTCCTGACTTGCTTGCTTGTGATTGCGCTGTCACGCTGATAGTGATAATGATAAGGAAAGGGAGGGAGGGAGGGAGGGATCAGCCCCGCCGCCGCCGCCTCCTCCTCGTCTTCACCCCTCCTTCTTCTTCTCCACCTTATATTTCTTTTCTTTTTCCTTCTCCCTTCTTCCTTCTTCCTCTCCGTAGATATCCTAATTGGCCATGACACCGGTAGTCTATCGGTAGTCTACGTAGTCTCCAGTTTGCTTTTTTATTCCTTCTCTCTTTCCCTCTCCAACTGAATTGTGCTTGCATTCTCTCCCCCTCTTCCATTTTGCGCTGACGGTTTGATTCGCGGGAATTCGGCGGTGCGGTATGGTATGGATGGATGGATGGTGGGGGCTTTTTTTTTTTTTCCTTTGTTTTTTTGGTATGCAGTTGTGTTGATGCGGAGCATGGTGGTACCGTATTCGTAGGGAATTCTCCGGTGGTGTGGGTTGGGATTGTCATGGGTGAAATAATGAATGATGTTTTACGGGGATGCCACTTTTGTGTGAGGGGTGGAAGTGTTGGAAGTTGCAAGTTGGGTGGTACTCTTTGTTTCACTGATTGGTGGTGGTGATGGGTGGGTGGTGGGGTTTACAGCTCATGAGTTTAGATGGGCCGCACCCCCGGGGTCGCGCGGAGTTAGTTGGTGGGCTTATGGTACGAGTAGTCCAAGTTTGTCGGAGTTGCGCTCGACTCGAGGTGAGGTGAAGCGTTTGATGCCGAGTACGGTACGAGTAATGATACTTGCGCCTTGTGAATTGGTGCATAGATAGTACCGGTATAGTTACTGTGGCTTACCTGTAGCTGCAAGTAAGGATATATAATACGAACGAATATGACTCCGCACCGTACTCGTACAGTTACCGTGCCTTTATAACGATGCTATCTATCTGGGTATCATATCATACAACAAGTATGCCCCTCGCTGACCGAGAAAAACTCCCAAGCCAACCACAACGGAAGAACAACAACTCCTACAGTATAATACGGTACCGGTATGATGATATCCACCACCACCGCCACCACATGGCCGCCCCCCGCCATCCCCCTCCCTCCCTCATTCCCTCCTGACCGCAGAGATAAAGCAAAAAGAGAAAAGATGTACAGTACAGTACAGTACAGTACAATGCAAATAAACCCACTCCCCCCCCCCCTTCTCTCAAATCTACCCATCCAACTCAATCCATATATCTACCGTAGTCTATTATATGTAGACTTACCATTCCAACGAAAAAATCTCGCCCGAATTGAAGTCATAAGTTAGTCAGTCACCCATACTTGTATGCAGGAGAAAGAGAACCTGTTAGGAATCGCCACCGTACTTTTAGTCTACCGGTAGTCTATCATAGTCTAGCGTCGGGCACGCGAGTACTTACCAATACCGGCGTCATATCATACCTGAACCAAGTATCATATCATACTAGTACCGGTACTCGAGTACCGTAGATAGTCTAAGAGACCAGCACTAGCGTAATAGTGTAATTGTGAGGTTTCGTGATGGCCGAAAGCGTGCTCGACTATCGTCATGGGTGAGGGATCTTTCAAAAATGGACGGAGGGATCTACAGTACATGGTGGGTGCTTAACTATGATATAATAGCATATCATACTCGTGCTGTACTCGTACTCGTACGTACCGGTATGATGGCCGATTGCGGGCGCGCTGGGTGGTTACCCTCGGAGCGGGAAAAGCCAACTAACTATCATAACTGACTAGGCGGAGGGGGGGGGGGGGGAACCCGGACCCCAAACTTTTTTTTTTGTTTCTGGGTTGTTGGCTCGCTACTTTTATGCTTACGGTCTATGCGGTGTAGCGGTGGCTTTCGGTCGGTGTTGGGGTTGTGTGCTGTATACTAGTAGTAGTGCTGGTGGACTGAAGATCTTTGTTTTGATATTATTTCAATGTTGAAGGGGGACGAGTTCAGTACTACTGAACAATGGTGGAATGGTTAATTAATTCTCGGGGGTGGGATAGTGGTGTGCATTAATAGATATAGACTATGACTCGATAATTGTAAAGTAGTGTAAGTATGTTTTAAGTGGTGTGTTACGGATTAGCAATGAGAATAAACTTGAAGTGTCGGAACTAAGATGTAATGAGAAGATGAGTGGATAAAATGAGTAAGAGGTAGTGGAAAATCTGGTGGTTTTAAAGTATCAAGTATTAAGAATAAGTTTGTCAAAGGTGGTACTATCATCAAGTCATAGTTTAAGCTAACAGTAATCAAAGGTATAGGGGTCTCTTCAAGTATAACTTGAGCTGGCTAAAAAATAATAATATGTTAGATTTTTTGTTATATTTAAACTTAATAGGCTCAACAACTAATATATTTTTTCAGTCTTATATTTATTTTATCTAGTCTGTACTATATAGTTTGTAATATTTAAAATATGTACTCAGGAGGTAAGTATAAGAGAGGCAAACTCTAATTGAATTGACTATCAGTTGTATAGGAGGTAATAAAAATAACAGTTTTCATTTGCCATTTACTATAAACAAGTCAGAAAATTAATGGTGGAAAAAAGGAAGGCAAATTCTTCAAGTTTACAATATATATTGAGAGAAAAATATATATATGTTCCATCCCACTGGTAAAGAATTTTACTTCACCAAGGGGATATCCTCTTGGCTAAGTAGGTCACTTCCCTAGTAGGATATCCTACATACAAAGGAAGTTTTTACTTATCCCATTAACCAAGCTTTTTGGTAAAGTGACATAATAGTAAAAAAAACAAAATCTATAGGAATAATAGTACTAGCATGTCTTATAAGCTATTTTCGTTGCATTCCTATAAGCAGAAAGGTAATTCTGATACATTTTCAGACTTTTTATTAAATGTGAATAGATACTTTAGTTATTTGTTTATCAAATCAAATATTGTTTTAAGAATTAAATACAGGAACAGAGAATTACCAAATAGAGAACTGAATAGAGGATAGGATAGAGTAAAGAATAATAGAATAGATAGAGAACAGGATGGAAGACCAGATAAAGGACAGGACAGAAAACTTTAAGTTTTTTTTAATTGAGGTTTACAAGAATAATTTTATCTGTTATATATTAGATAGAAAATAACTGGTTATAGGGAGAAAGAAAAGAGCAAACAGAGGGAAAGAAAAACAACAGAAAAGGAAGAGAGCCTGAGGGGTGAGATAGACTCCACCTCATATAAATCAACTAAAACATTCAAGAACTATATGCCTTTAATGAGCATGCCATAACTAGTTAATAGAGTAAAGAAACACCTTACTACCACCTCCTCCTACATTCCAAACAAACTAAGAAAATCAAAAAGAAAGTTCTTAATAGGTTAAAAATCAATAGGTATGATAGTATTCACATAAAATACCTTCTTAGAATAAGGTATGAATTGTTGAATTATAGATGGAGTGAGAAAGGAATAAGGAGATAAGAAGAGAATTAGTAGTACATGAAAAAAAAATTATTGTATTCTACTTGGTGGGTAGGATGAGAAAAATTTAACTTGGTAAGTAAGCTATCCTACAGGGCAAGTTCTCTGCTTCGCCAAGGAGATATTCTCTTGGTGAACAGGATACCCCCTTGGTGAAGTAAAATTCTTTGCAAGTGGGATGGAATATATATAATATTATAGTACTATTTTAGTAGAGATTAACTTCTCTATTTATAGTTATAATAGTAGTAAGTCTTTATGATATACTCTAAACATGTCAGCAAAAAATATTTCTACATCAGACTTAGAGGTATTGGCCCTGTATCTGAATGCAATCAGGCTAAATTCTATATCTATTATGTTCTATATATTCTGTACTTAAGTGCCATATTTAGTTGCATCCAATACTTGGACACTATAATTATCTAATTGTGTTCTGTATATCTTAGATATTAGATTCAAGTTAGGTAGTTCTATATCCAGATTGTATCCTAAGTGGGCTATATATAGTTACCATTCAGAGATTCTGAGTAATAGTTATAGCTACTAGCTACTCTATCTACGATCCTCCTACTACTCTCCTACTACTCTCCTACTACTCCTTCTCCTACTATTCTCCTACTATACAAATCTTT